CTGAACATCAGGTGCCCATTGAGCATCAGATATTTGTCCACCCCACTGGTCAGCACCCATTCCATATTCGGGACCTGGAAGTCCATATTCAGGGGCAGCAACAACTTCTTCCTCTTCCTGTTGCTTGGCTTCTTCAGGATCCCTGTAGAAGAATAAATCCACCTGCACATACACATACACATACAGCGTTTAAATACAGGAATATGAAGCCAAAGGGAAAAAAGAAATCATGCAGCAAGTGAACACAAATCATCGAAATATGTGTATGTGTTGTCATTTACCATGACATCCCACTTCTGTCCAGGAGGAATGATGCCACGCATTTGAAGAACCATCCTTGCTAACAGCCAAAACAGACAACCAATGCTGTGCTTTCCCTTGTTATTGGCAGGAATACCAATATCAACAAACTTCATAGGAGAATCAGTATCACAGAATGCAATTGTTGGAATGTTTCCAAGGGCTGCTTCCTTGATGGGCTGCAAGCAATTTGAAGTCAGTGGAGAGTTAGCCCCAGCAAAAAGGTGTCAAAAGTAGAAAATAAGTGAGTTCTATAAACAAAGGCTAAAACTCATTAACATTGCAAATCATGATTTACCTGGTGATCAGTCCTAGGATCAGTCAGGATTAGAAGACGGGGCTCATTAAAAGATGTCTGAAGTTGATTGGTGAATGTACCAGGAGTGTGCCTCCCAGCAATAGCATGAGCACCAGTGTACTGTGCAAACTTCAACACAGCTCTCTGACCATAGGGCCTTGCAGATTGGACAATAATGTCCTGAGGATTCTCAATAGCAACAATAATCCTGGCTGCAAGCTGAAGTTTCTCCCAGGTCTTGCCAAGGTTGATAATGTAAATCCCTAAGGAGAAACAAAAGAGACTGAATCATAAGAAAACAAATTGTGCATATCATAACTAAGCATACAGTCACCATATAGCTCCTTTCTTGAAGACGAAGAAATGGCGGCTGACTAACAAGATATCAGATTTAACAAGAAAATCATTAACCCTTAAAATCCCAATTCAGTAAAATGATATTCATTACAATAACCAGAAACACCAGCACTCCCACAAATCTAGCAATGAAGCGATCTTTCTTACTACTAATCTGTCTTGCCTTCTATAGCTTTCAATATATCTATCAAAACTATTCACGAGTTGAAAAATTCTCCAAATGAGTATATAAACTAAAACAAGTTCATAGCAACAGTGAATTCATAGAAATCAAGTCTTTAATCAGATCTCACAAAATACAAACACACATACAAAAAAGTTTCACAAAATTGTTATACCAAACCTAAACACCCACGAATCAAAATCGAGAAAATTAGAGAAATTTACCATCATTCCGGCGTTTGAAGACGTAGCGCTCCATCTGGTAGTCACAGTTCTTGGTACCCAGATGGACCTCAGCAGCCAACATCATCTGGATGTCGGCTTCCTTCTGAGAAAGCTGCACTGCTGCAGCAGTAGTTGCTGGGGTTGCGGTCGCCATAGCTACAAAGAAAAACCTCCAAAACACTAGAGATAGACTCCTACTCCGTTCGCCGAGGAATGCAGACTGAAAATGAGGGCTTCGGCGAGAGAAAGAAGAGAGTGCTTCTAAGTTTGTATAATATAGTTCTAGGGTTGAAGGAAGGCGGAAACCCTAATTTAGCTAATGACATATTTGCCCATGAAATCCTGTAGGCCCAAAATTATGAGCCATGGGCCCAAAACTCTGAATGAAGACCGAAAATCTTTACTTAAGTACTTAACCGGTCAACCCCATTAGGCCCAGGTAACAAAAAGCTCTAAATCATGGGCCTAAAACATGAATCCTAATCATGGGCCTCTCAACAACAAAGCCCATTTTTCAAACGATAAAATGAAAATTAGCCCGTTTTAGAGATGATTTTTTTTAGTATAGATGACACTAAGCTATAATATTTTTGCGGTGCAAATTACACTGAAATATATTAGTTAATGTATTA